TTAATACCTTTCGATGCTCAAGATAGAGGAGATGCCTTGGAACAAGAAAAAAGGACTGAAGGGTTTGGAGTTGAAAAGAACTGAGGGTGATGCTGAATCTAGAGAAGGGTCTTGGATTTAGCTTTGATTTTAGTTGAGTGATCGCTCTTTCTTTGATTGATTCCAGTTGGTTTCATAAGCAAAAAGAAAGCAAAAGGATGATTGTTAGTTCATCGCAATGACAAAACAAAGGCAGAAAACATGCATAAACCAAAATCAGATACATGTAAGTAAATATGTACCTTCTGGCTTTAGATTTCCTTTAAAATGTGTGGAAAGCACGGGAAGAAAATAAGATTTACGATAGAGCAAGTTGGGAGGCTTAGGATGGAAAATCAGTCAGTTTGCGAGAAAGGGTCTTGATTTTTTAGCTATGGTTTTGCTTGAAAACGGGAGAAAAGAAATGAGCTCTCCTCAAAATCAAATGATGAATTGGTGATGGATATTGGCCTAGTCGTCTTGGTTTCTTGTGGTTTTAGGCTTCTGCTAACATTCTAGGAGAAAGTCAAGAGGAACCTATTTTTCTCAGTACCTTTCAATGTTGAATGCTGGGGCATTTCATTGGTCGAGACACAGAATATTATGATATCTTGTTTCTTTCATAGTTCTTTATCCTAAAAGTCACATCATCTTAGTTAGAGTTGGCTTTTCAACTGCAAAAAAAGTAATTAACAATCGGGGAAGGAGCCACCATAGGACAGGGGGGGAGCCGCCCCCCTAAGATTTTTTTAAAAAAATTATTACTCATTTTTAATGAAATATATTTCTAATCTTAATTAGTTTCCTAATTAAACAATAAAACCTAACCCTAAAAATTAATTCCCTGTTTGGATTTGGACTCTTTACCCTTCCCAATCTCCCCTTTTTGTTGCGATCGTCCAAAACAAATTTCACTTTTTCTTTTGCATCGTCTCTAGTGCTTAGTGCAGTCATGCAGCTGTGCAAATAAGAAACAAAGTAAAAAATCCAATTTTCCTCTAATGTTGGGTTTATAGTTTTTTGCTGTATAGTGTCCACATCTTGTGTACCCATTTTGTTTAATTTAATAATATTACTTTAATTTTCTTATTAAAAAAAATTAATTAAGTTCTCCTCTTTTTCTTTGTAGATGCAAAAGGAATTTAATTTT